GTTCAGCAGAGTCCAATAGTTCAGAAGGAACTGAAAGTACTGGACGGCAGTTTGGTCTTGAACATCACCCAAAAGGAAGCAATTCCTCCACTGTTTATCGTGCTCCAGTGCAGAAGAGCAATGCTAACCAAATTAGTTCAAAAGACTCCGTTCATTCCGAAAGAAATCTTCGCTCTAGCATATCTGCTAGATCCGAAAAGAATCAGAGAAGTTCAAGATCGAATAATTCTGGCGTGGATGGACGAAGTAGCCTTCAGTTCTCGAGGACTCAATCGAGTCCAGAGCTAACTGAGACAACGGTAGACTCTCCCTCTAGAATTAGGCGCAGTTGGGTTGGAGAGGTGAGTAAAACATTCAACGAGAATTTAAGATCTGAGTATGGCAGCAGAAGGAAAACCATCAATTCTGAAGGCAATATTAATGACCCTTCAATTAGACAAAGTTCGTCCCAGCGGAGCTTCGAGGCTGCTGCGGAATCTAATAGTGCCTCAAATAGCTATCACAATGATACTGGTTTTATGAGTGTTGGGGAAGAGCTCGCTTCGGTTTCTGATGCACTGGAGCAACAGCAGCAGGAACAGCAGGACATGGTAAATATGATGGCGGTTTCACGGGCCCATAATTTTATTGGGCAGGTCCAACTACCGATGCATTTTACTTCTCCTCATCCTCTTCCTGTTTCTCCTTACTTAGCTTCAATGGGCTATGCTCAGAGAAATTTAGTCACCTTGATCGACCCTTCGTGGGGATCTGCGGTGCAGTTTCCTCAAGGTTTCGTTTCGTCACAGGTTCCTCATTATTTTCCAAATCCTAATAACCTGAAGTCAAACTCAGAAGAACTCATGACTGGCAACGAAATCCCTCATGTGAATGCAGCGAATACGGAGGATGAAGAACATGATTCATGGCATGACCATAATGTTGGTTTCACCAGAGACTTCAAAACCGGTAATGGAGACCACATCATTCATTCCTATGAAAGGAAACATCCTAATGCTTTTGAACAACAAAATAGTGTAACAAATGACATATTTGCGAAGGATAGAAATGCAAACTTAAAGCATATTCCAGTAGTGCAGGTTAGCGCTGATAGAAGTAATCTGTACTCTGAAACTTTGAGGGATGGACCAAATTTGAAGCCGCCTTCCAAAACAACGAGGAACAAGTGGGGAAGAAGCCCGCCTGCTTCCGAAGTGGCAAATTCCTTACGTGGTAAAGCTAAGACTGAATGGCGATATGAAGTTGCATCCGAACCTGCTTCGTCTTCTCAGGAAGACGATGAAAGCGGCGGTTGGGTGTCTCCATCGACTTCAGCCACGAATATATCAGAGCGTGTCATAACATCTGCTCCTTTGATGTCCGTGCATTCTACGAGTAACCTTTCGGGATACGAACAAGCACAGATAAGCGGAGCAGACTCAGTGATCCCGTTTGCACCTCTCCTTATCGGTGGTTCTCGGCAGAAGTTTCCGGAAAACTCTGGGGTTATTCCATTTACATTCTATCCCACCGGTCCACCTGTTCCATTCGTAACGATGGTTCCCGTATATAATTTTCCTGCTCTGATGGTTCGCCAAATCATGTCGATAGGGACGACGATGCGGAACAGCTTCATGCATCACCATCCAACCGCAGCTACGATTCGGTCCAGAACTACGATCAATTTGATAATCTCGTGAATTTGAGTACCTCGAAAGGTGTGGCCTCAGATTCGATCGAAGAACACAAACCAGACATACTAAACAGTGATTTTGCAAGCCATTGGCAAAATTTGCAATTTGGAAGGTTGTGCCAGAGCACTCGGAACCAAGGACCCATGACCTATTCTCCTCCTGTAATGGTGCCTCCGGTTTATCTGCAGGGTCATTTTCCCATGGATGGACCTGGTAGACCCCACTCCACTAACATGACCTTTCCACAGGTCATGGGTTATGGTTCTCGATTGGTTCCGGTCGCTCCTCTACAGCCTGGTCCCAACCGACCGTCGGGTGCTTTTCATCGATATGGGGATGATTCGCCGAGATATCGGAGTGGTACTGGAACTTACCTCCCAAATCCTGTAAGAACTGCCTTTCTCATATACTGTTTATTTTAGCAGATGGTCTTTACTTTCTTTATGCTCGAGTCTCGAAACATTCATATTTTAGTCACTGTCAGGCTTCTGTATGTTAAATTTTACGAAAATTTACATACGTACGACCCAATTATTATGTATTTACAGATCTAACACACCAAATTTAATTTTTACATTTATAGAACCCAAGTCTTTCAGGTCACATAAAAATAAATAGCATCATTTTAACTTATAAATGTGAAATACACCTTTTCATGCATAGGGGAGGTGGCATGGCATGTATGCAACAATTGAAGTTTAGCTATTAGATATGTAAATACATAAGAATTGAATGGTATGTATGTAAATTTTCACAATATTTTATGATCAATAACACTGAAGTCTACAGTTTTTTTTGTATTGGCAATTCCTTGTTTCATTAACTAAAAGGAGCAAAGTGTGCAAATAATCCCTTGACTATCTACATGGGACTATTTTAGCCCCTTGACTAACTGTGTTTGATCTCCAGAAGGCTTCTTTCAGAGAGAGACAATTTTCAAATGCTAGAAATCACAGAGGCAGCTACAAGCACGATCGGGCCGATCACACAGACAGAGACGGAAGTTGGATAAATGCCAAAGCTCGTTCCGCCGGTCCTGGTCACGCACGAAATCAGAACGAGAGATCGAACTTCAGGTCTGATCGATTGGCCACATCAGATAACCGACAATGGGATTCATATAGGCACGAGCACTTTACTCCTCATCAAGCGCATAATATTTCGTTTAGACCATCAAACTCACCGAATGATTCCGCAAACTTGCCATATGGTGTTTATCCTGTACCAAGCGGCAGTTCCAATGGCGTCGTGATGCTGTATCCATACGAACAGGGTGTTAGCTTTGGACAGCCCGCTGATTCGCTCGAGTTTGGATCATTCGGACCCGTGCCTCTACCGAATACTGAAGGATCGAGGTCCAATGAAGGAAATCCGATGAAAAGAGTACATGATCCAAGGCATAGTGCGAATCAAGGAGGCTCTCCGCGATCATCTCCAGACCAACCTTCGTCGCCACAAATACCACCGAGGTAGCACTAGATACGATATCCTTTGTGTTTTGATTTGAATTTTATGATGGGTTACAAGGAGAAATGTTATATTTTTCAAGCATTAAATGAAGTATGGAAACAATATTCTTCTTATAGAAAAAACATCTCAAGCTTTACTTAAAAGAGATTAACATTACTTTTCGACATATATGCATACATAAATACATACCATATGTATAGAAACACTCATTTTATTCTTTAAAATTTGGGGGGTTTACACACAACCCACACAATTCTTATCTATTTACATATGTAACATCTAAATTTTATTTTACATAATACTTTAATGTCATGGTCACATCAAAACATGCAAGAAAATGTGTGTTTCACTTTAGAAAATTAATGTTTTTACTAGTATTTTTTGTCGCTCTGTCAAATTTTTTAGTATTAAATAAGTAAATATTAAAGTTTAGGATGTTAGAATGTGTAAATATCTAGGAATTGTTTGGTATGTATTCACCTTTAAATATAGGTGGGATGTGTGTAATTATAAAAGTTTATGTATGACATGTTAATACATAAGAGTTGTGTGCTGTGTATGTAAAATGCCCCTTAAATTTATCTTGCTTCATTATTTGTAATTCATATAATATGTTTATCTTACAGGGGACATTAGATCACTCGTGAGATCTATTCGGCCGAATTGTCGATCATCGAAAGAAAAAAACGATGAATCCCCTTTTTGCCATTCCAAAATGAGGGAGGCTGCGATAGCCATTCGGATCGACGATCAGACAGTGGACATATTTTGCGCTTTGCTTGTGTATATTTTGATTTGTTGTAATTCCGCCATCTTGATTCAATCTTCATTGTACTGATTCTATCACTCTGTAACACTGCCTCTAACCCTTCAGTCACGGCTAGGGTTCGCTCTGCAACAAATAGATGTTGCTTTAGGCCACTTTGTAGCTTCTTGTAAAGGGGTTCCCAAATAATTGGGATAAGGCTAATGATGATGATGACGACGACGATGATGAGAGTAGTTCTTATTAGGCTTTAAACTTTTTTTTCTTTTCAGGAAAACTTTTACAGTTTTAGGATTATGTTTTACAAATTAGACCTTTAGCTCATTCCAAATTATGTTTTCCTCAATGTTTTTGCTCATTTTCTGCTTATTTTCTGTAAAGTTCTCTGCTATATGACTGCTTAAATTTAAAAATTACATGCATACCAGACAATTGTCATGTATTTATGTATGTAACATCTAAAATTTTGCATTTATAATTGTGGTATTATAAACATATGAATGAAAATGTGTAATAAACTTCCAAAATGTTGGTGAGTGGTTGTTTTAATGTGATGTGAAAGGTATATATCAATATTAAAGTGGTTTGATATGTAAATACATAATAATTGTGGTGTGCACATAAAATATTCCTAATGTTTTCTTTTAATCATTTGCGCTTTTTATTTTTTCATAAATATTTTAATCTCATCTTACATATGTAATTGTGTATTTTGGTTTTTTTTCAAGTTAAAATATTAATATTTTTTTATATGATATGAAAGATTTATGTGGTATAAATGTAATATATGTCAAAATATATGCATGAAAAATATCATTTGTTTTTTTAGTACTGGCATTGTTTTGAAAATATATTCTTACAAATATGAGTAATCCGCGATACTATGCGTGTAAATATGAAAGTTTAGAGGATAGATCTGTAAATATGGAAGAACATTGTGGTATGTATGTAAATGTCTCTAAAAATAAAACTAGAAAAAAAGAATAGAGATGTCATAAAGTTGAATTTTTAGTTGGAGCTGGCGTGTTGGCTACCATTACGAGGAGAGTTCGAGCTCACAATTTGTTAGACGAGCTAACATCTATCATCCTCCTATGTTTACTAATACCTTCTTTGGTGAGAATATGTAAAAATTAAATTTTTAGTCTGGCTGCTATCATTGAGCTGATCTCAAGCTCGCCATTTAAGCTCAACTCGGGCTCCAGCTCTTAATTTGGCAGGCGAGCCGAGCTTGATGAGGGCGTGGCTCGGCCTTGACTCTACTCATTTATGCCCTTAACTCTGATGCATGCAAGAGTTCCGTTCTCCCGAGTCGAGCTTCAAAGTTTCATATTTAATATTATGACATCTTATTGTGATAAATTTATGCACGAAATGTTATAAGTAACTTAAATTTCTTTTTATGGAAATGAATCTATTATTCTATGAGAGTATTTTAAGTCTGTTTCGACTTTGTATTGTCTAGACAATCAACTGTCGAGCATCACATCTTCATATATATGTCTGGGGCAACATAACACCATGTGAAGTACTATTTTTTTCCTAATATAAGTTTTTACATATCAACAAAAAGTCAGTTTCGTTCCCATCAGTCGATTAGCCATCTCCGGAATGAGCGAAGCTAAAACCCTAGCTGTTTCTCTCATACCCTCTGCTGTGCGGAGTATTAGGAGGACGAAGAGATTCAGTTCTTTTCCCTATCCCTTCCTAGGGTTAAATCTTTGCTGGGGCAAGGCTCCAGCGCCGTCCTATTTCTCCCACGCCACCGCCGCCGCCCCCAGCCCGGCCCCCGCTATCGGCGATGAAACTTCAGAAGACACCGTCGAGGAAATCCTCACGCGGGGAGAGAGGAGACGAGGGCTGATGAAGATGGAGCGAAGATCGGAATACGAGGAATCCCGTGGGCAATGTTTTCCTTACCTGGATCTCTGCAGGGTTGGATCCGCGTCTCTGACCAGCCGGGAGGTCATTGAAGTGTTAGAACCGTACATCTTGGATGCGAGGAGGGAGAGAATGCAGAGAGTGGTCGATAATCGTAGCTATTCGGTAAGTCTGGTGGTGGAAGGGCTTACTGATTTTGGGAACGTGTCTGCAGCGTTTAGGTCGGCGGATGCGCTCGGGATTCAGTCGGTTCATGTCATTTCTAGTGACAACAGGAAAAGGTGCAGCCGTAACTGAGGTGAAAGAGAACAAAGTCCTTCTGCTTCTTTGCTATTGAACATTTTTTTTTGTGGATTTGATGCCTTATTCTAATCTTGATCGCATGATTGGCTTGCACTTTTGGATAACTAGACTAATTCTTCTTAGCAAAATTGTTATCCTGTTCTTAGCAGGCTCAAATGTTACCGAGTTTTCTTTTTCATTTACAGTGGTGTGCTTCTTGACAGGTATAGAGATAATCGTCATGTCAGCATGGGCGCTGAGAAGTGGTTGGACATAGAACTCTGGAAATCACCAAAAGAGTGCTTCCAGGCTTTGAGACTGCGTGGCTACCGCATTGCTTCCACCCATTTGGGAGATGATACGGTGACCATTCTCAAAATTTTTTTGCGTCTTTGTATTTGCAGTGCAAGCCTCTTTGATTTTATGCTTAGTTTTACAAGCACCCTCGTTTGTATTGAATACATTCAGCCATAAATTATCGTAGCATTTCTTATTTTTTGATCATTTAGTAGTCTGAAAGTTGTTTCTTCATATTCATGTCTATGCATACAGTATAAAACCGTTTGAAACTCAACCGAAAGAAAACCAGGTCCATTTATATTCAATTTTGACTTTGATTGATTTAATCTAACATTTCAACTAAAAAAAGAAAAAAACTTTTGTGTAGAAGCTTTAAAATTTAAGAAGAGAAAAGAATATGTGCACAAGAACATATACGAGAGGCAGTAAACTCACTATGAACTTAAAAAAAAAACACTAAGAACTTTATTGAAGGTCACCTTATATATACAAAAGCTATTACAAGTTTGAGGAGTTGCCTCCTTTCTAAACTTCTATGTGACCTCTGTTTTGGGATTTCATTTTGTGAAGTGAGCTACCGTTTTTCGAATTTTTCTATCTTAATAAGTTTTCTCTGATGTGGACTCCAACTGTGACCCTTGAGCGTTAGAAACTCGAGAGATGATTTAGTTCCAAAAATATTGAAACTTGGCATCTGCAATTTTGGTTGTGTTGAAACAAAAAGACAATTATTCATCTATTGTTATGTAAAGTTTTAGTGATGGCATAAGCTACCGGATGATATTTTAAATCCAAAGCCAAATAGTTGTTTTGAGGTCTTTTTATGTGCTTATGATCTAGAAAACACATTTTTTATTTTTGGTTGGAATCGAACTGGTTATTACAAAAACTCACTTTTCTAACTTGAGATGAACTAGACTAGTATCAGAATGAAGATCAATCAAATGAATCTATGATTTTTAACAGTACATAGGATGGCGAGTGCTTTCGAGATTAAGATAAATTTATCCATGTAAATATGACAAGACTTCTTCATGATAATATCTACCTTCAGTTTTGATAAGAAAGAAAATTTGAGATGCTGCTATAAATCTAAAACTAAATAGTTGGAACGAGGCTCAGTGTGCATATATGATACAAAAACCTTAGTTTTTATTGTTCAGTAGAAAACTGTCTAGATGTTATTCCTACTCGCTTTACTGACTTGATTAGCTAAGTCAAAGTTATATTAATTATATTTCAGCTTGATGGTCAACTTCCTTGAACTACCATTACTGCAAATCAAACTTAAACATGTCCTTACTATTTATGAAATGTGTGCCATTTGTAGTTATCATTAACTCAACATGGATATCTTTATTACTAGAAAAAAAAATCAATTTTTTCCTGGAATTGATACTTTTTCTAACCCTTCTGTATAGGTTTCTATTTACGATTTAGATTGGTCAATTCCAACTGCTGTTGTCGTTGGGAATGAACATTTGTAAGTATATTTAATACAATATGCTCTGCTTTTTGAATAAACTTTTTTGCTCAATATAAGTTTGTTTGATTGTATTTCCCCCATCAAATATTACACACAAGAGCACGCACACACATGCATACATACATATGCACATTTAAGTAGAATCAAGCAGCATGGCCGATCGATTGGGCACGTAATACTGAACATTAAATTTTGATCATGCCACACATAAATAACTTATTTAGAATCAGCCAGGCTAGACTGGAAGTTCAAATAATTATACAAATATGGAAATTTATGGCAATCCATTTCATGGGAGAGGGTAAAACATCTTACAATTGTTATAAAGGAGAAGAGATGTAACGGTTGGCAACGTCAAAGTGAGTTTCATACTAATCTCAAAGTTTTGAGAAGAGAATCAGACTCCTTACTCCATTTAAGGGGGTCTCATACCAATCTCAAATTGCTGAGAATGTCACATTAGGAAGGAAAGCATAGGGACTCACATCCAACCTAAGAGGTGACAAAAAGGGAGTTATAATTTAGGTATTGATACGGAGATGAGAATTGGAATTTAGGTATCAACCTCAGAATGATAATCGAAATTTAAATACCGAACTTGAAAGGAAATGAAACAGAATTTAGGTACTGGCCTCGAGATGAAAATTGAAATTTAGGTACCAATCCCGGAATGACAATCAGAATTTAGGTATTGACCTTGAAAGGAAAAGAATCAAAATTTAGAAAATTTATGGCAATCCATTTCATGGGAGGGTAAAATATCATACAATTGTTATAAAGGAAAGAGATGTAGGGGTTGGCAATGTGTAACATTTGATTAAATGAACAGAGCTTATGAGTTATTTGAAGAATTGCTGCTCTTTGTTTTGCCCTTCATGACTGGTTGCGCTGATGCTACTTTTGTAGGGGCATAAGCGAGGAAGCTCTGCAGCTGGCTGATATGCGCTGTAGTATTCCTATGATAGGCATGGTGGACTCTTTCAATGTCTCTGTTGCTGCTGGCATTCTCCTTCACCATGCAGTGCATCATAGATTCTCTCATATGGTAACCACTTCATTCAATTTTCAGGTTTTTTCGTAAAAAAAGAAAAGTTTTGGTGTCTGAATATGTAAATATATAAGAATTGGATGGTGTATATATGTAAATGCCCCTTTAATAAATGTTTTGAAATTTGAGAACATGTTGCAGGGCCATCACGGTGATCTGACTACTGAAGAAAGACGAATCCTTCTTGCAGAATTCTATCTGCGTCATCGTGAGAGTTCAATGGCCATAGTTCACGAGTATGTGAAAAGAAATTTGGGAGACTGTTTGACAAAGTTCCTCCCTCAGTGAGAGATAATTTTTTTCTCTCTCTCATAATCAGGTCATCATATGGTGGACGTTTCATGTGACCAAATCATTTAAGGCGACTCTCTCTGATCCTGTTCGGGCTTAGCGGTGAGCGGTTGGGCAAGCGAGTAGCTATGGAGATGAGAGGTTTACTGGCTGTGATAATGTCAATAGCAGCGGTTTGTAGTTTATTTAGAAATTAAGTAATTTCTATATTTCATTTTCATTCAACCATACACTTAGATTTTGAAAAACATTGCATTTCCTTTTACATTTAGTCAAATCAGAGTCATTTTTGTTTATAAATTTGTCATAAAATGCAATGAGCACTATGGTGTTGAAGTCTCATAAATCTGTTTTAGAATGTCACCAAGAAGAAAATATTGGTAGCTTTTCTTTTTTATATCCTAAATTTTATATTTTCTATGAATGTCAAACATTTGAATATGATATAAATTTAAAAGAATAGTATGATATGTACGTACCTTTTTTTTTTGCATTTTTATTGCTCAAAAGATTGAATGCAAAATCGTTTTTTTAATACATGATACATATTATCTTTCAAAATTTAAAATATTAATATTTGTTACCTTAGGTGTTAAATATATAAATACATAAGAACTGGGTGGTATTTATGCAAATGCCCCCCAATTTACTTAAGATCAAAGCACTGAGAAATTTATTACAAATGAGTTAGAATGAGGCTAACTACATTTCACGTTTAGTTTATATCTCATGACAATGAATGCAGTTTCCAGAGCCTATCTAACAACTTAATTATACAAAATTAACAAGAGATAGCAATTCACTGTTATTGAGCTTACCAATATACATTGAAACATCGGAGTTGGGAATAAAACTTGGGTCAACTCGTCGAAATAAATCATGACATGATCATACAAAATATATATTTCACACATCATTATCATCATAAGTATTAAAGAACAGCAGATTCCCCTATGTTGAGATCCTCTGCACAATCGATCACAAACCTTCGAAACCTTGTGATGAAAGTGAAACGCCCTGCTGCGTTTGATGAGTCGTGACCAGGCCCGTATTAATATGATTCAACAAAAGAAATTCATCCTGCATAAAACTTTGCCAAAAACATCCATACAACTAAATAGGGCTGTCGAAAGAATATCATCGTTTGCGAACAAGTGTTTGATTCACTCGGTAAGCAATAGAGCTGAACTTAACAATTTTGTTTGATCATATTTGGCTCATTTTAAGTTGATTCATTAAATAATTAAATAAATATTATTATTATATTGCTGATTTAAAGGTGGACATGAGTTGAAATGAACAAAATAATTTGAGTCAAGACAAACACAAGCATTTTATTCATAAGTCATTTCAAATGAGTTCAACACGAATTGGGCTCGCTCAAGCTTGGCTCGTTTGCACCCCTAACTACCGGACAAAAAACCATCAATAACATCACAGAGAGAGAGAGATAAGTTTATATGGTACCTCAAGTGGAATTTTGTCAATTTTGATTCCTAGAACCTTGGAATTTGATGAACTCTTCTATTCTTGCCTTGAGCTCCACATTGGGCACCAACATCTCTTGAGTCAAATGCGACCGGTTAAATGGATCGGTCTGCGACAATATGTGGAGACATCTTGTTGCATGTTAGATCATCGTGATAATCTAAGGGGTATTTATACACATACCACACAAATCGAATGCGTCTGCATATCTCACGCCTAAACTTTCATATTTATACACATATCAATCAAATCTTACATATTTATTGGTTTTTAAAAATGAAATAAACATTTTCATGCATAGGTGTAAAGCGCCAAAAAGCTATGCATGTAAATATGAAAAGCTTAGGTGAGAGATATGTGAATACATAAGAATTGTAAATTTCACATGATATAATGGACAACTGAAGCTTTAAGGATACAGAATATTTACACTATCACTAAGCAGGTGTCTTTGGATTACAGTTCGATCAACTGTAACCTTTGATGATGGTAGAATTACAGGGTCCTTCATCAGGGTGTACTGCAAAAAGGAGACCACATGAGCATGGATCTTATTTTTCAACATTTCTTCCAACAAACAGGAGAAAAAACCAACCACAAATAGATTATCAATCCTATACAGCTTTATTTCCATAGTTTGAACAATGTTTGTGGATAAAATAAAAGTGTTACCTGAATAGGGTCAACGAATTCTTCTGGTATGTCACCAAGGGCGGCCTCGACATCCATTGCTTCAGAAGCTGCGGCTCTGGCTTTCTCACCAAGATGAACAAATTCCTTTATCACTTTGCTGTCTTCCCCGATTTTCCACAAAATATTAACTGCGGTAATGAAAAGCTTGAACCAAAAAACAAATTTCAGATTATGATCGTATCTACTCAGTATATAATAATTGAGACAAACTGGGTTCAAGGGTCGGGTTTGGATTTGAATCAAAATTGATTTGACCCAAAACTACATTACCCGAACCCGACCTAAATATTAAACAGGCTAGAAAGTTCAGCCCGAACCCAAGCCGCCATCAACTCCGACTGATACACGACATGCATAGCCCATTTAACATTAAAGCATATTAGCTATTTGGGTAAAAAAAATGGTCAATTTCGGGTTAGCGGATCAATCTCCGCTCTCGAGCCAACTCCAAGCCGGCAGGTCAAACTAAACCGACCCTAAATATTAAATGACTCCTAACCCAAATCCGACCCGAATATTATTCGAGTCGACATGTCGGGTCAATTTTTGACACTTCTCTATAAGAAGCTAGACATATGTTCGTCCCAAAGATACATACATGTTCGTTGTATGATCGCCCATCCTTCGATACTGCGGCTGGAAACACGTTTTCGCGGTCTCCTCTTGCAATATGGACATAAATCTCAACAATCTTGAGAAGAAAATTGCATAATCATTTGAGGCAACAAAAATGAAATTCATGTAAAAAAAAAACTGTCGGGACAGAATGAAGTATGATGAAGATAAAAAAATAAATTCTCTAATAAAGATTCTCAAGATACTAACTTGCTTTAGCAGCTGCTTTGGCCTGAACTCATATTTTTCTGGATCTTTTACAATAAGAGATTTCCTTTGAGGTCCAACAAGTTGTAACAGAAAGTAATTTAGCATGCTAGCCACCCTTTCCACCTGCAATTACTTCTTTTCATTTAATAAATAAAAAATTGAGATATTTTCAAGTCTCAAACAAATAATAAGGCAAAAACATTACATGGAACATGAAATACAAATAATAAAAATGAATTGTTGCATGTATTTTGCTTTAGTGACAGGAAATACAAAACCCATTATTTAAAAAACATTAAAATGTTCATTATAAGTCTGCATTGGTTTATGCACAACAATTTAGCCCAAAGAAGACAAGTTTTTGATAAAGCAACTAAAAAAGGCTAGAACGAGGCTACAAAAGGAAATCAAAAGAAATAATTTCAAGCCTTTTGGAATCATCTTTGATTTCTGCGAACTTTCTTATATTTTCAGTTAAACTTATTTTATTTGGTCGAATTATCATTTTGGATATATTAAGTTTGAATTTGAATTTTTTTCTATAATTTGATAAAATTTTAAATAGAATTAAATTTGAATTCCAAATATTTCATCTTATTTTTGCAACACTATCTATAAATATGGATTGATGATTTGTATTAAAATTATTAACTAATGATATCAAATAAATGAATTTATTTGCTAGGTTAGTTGAACATTCTCTGGATCCAAGTTGTCCAAAGAACCCTCCAAAGAGAAAAGAGAAATTTACATACCTAGAACACAATTCTTATGTATTTACATATCTCACACCTAGAACACATACTTCAATGCTTTAAATTATGCATGAAAAGGTGAATTTCGCTTTTAAAAAGTGGTAATAGTGCTATTTTTGATGTGATATTAAAGCTTTGAGTGCCATGTGTGTGCATACAAAAGTTTAGGCGTGATAAATGTAAATGCATAAGAATTGTGTGCTATGTATGTAAATGCCCCAAGAAAAAATTACCATTTCCGGAAGAAGAAAGGGAGATGGAATTTGTTCGGATGTGAATACAAGCATACCCACATCTTCATTTGCCAGCTTCATGTCAAAACGAACAATCTGGAAGTGCCAGCAATGTCAATCAGAATGTAGCCTCGGTTACAAAATTACCCGAACAAAATTTCTATAAAATAAGCTTAGAAACCTTTAATAATTAAACATATGACTCACATTTTCTCGAGAATGGAATTGACGCATCCTCTCTTCCCTTTCTTGGGCTGGTCTCCTTTCCCATTCAACAGAATTGGACATCTCTGCTTCTATTTCTTTAAGTTCTAGTATTTTGTTTAAACTCTCATCTAGAAGATAAATACTATCATTGATAAGGAAGTTCAAAAAATTCAAGTAGACACCCTTCTCTTCTTCTTTAGCTATCTGTGCCAATAAACAAATACAATGGACACGAGCTCCATTACGTAAAATGGACCAATTAGAACTCAAGATAATGAAATACAGACGGCGGACCGGTAAAGACTACTCACCTTCATCCAAGCATTTCGATGGCTTGGGACATTCCATAAATACTCTAAAAGCTCAGCAATGTTATGGCGAATTGTAAATTTATCAAAGAACTGCATAAGATTGCAATCAAACCATTAAAAAAAGGGGCATTTACATGCATAGCACTAAATTCTTATGTACATACATATTTCACACATATACTTTCATATTTACACAAATAGCACTCAAATCTTTAATATCACATCAAAAATAGCATGATTACTACTTTTTAAAAGAGATATACACATTTTTATGCATAAAATAAAAGCACCAAGAGGCTACGTATGCATATATAAAAGTTTAGGATTGAAAAGGTAAATACATGAGAATTGGGTATCATGTATGTATATTTTTTATAGCGTAAAACGCTGGGAAGAAAAACTTAGTACATGCTAGATATAAAGCATACAAAACAACATTGAGTGTAATACTACCTGAGTATGAGAACCAGTAAACTCAATATCTACATAAACATTTAAGAGATTCCGTACTAGATAATCAAGAGATAATGGGTGTCCTTCAAAAAGCGAAGCTGTAGCAGATACACCACTGGATGAAAAAAATAAAAATATTCACGTACTGCTCAACATGGTAGACAAAGTCAATAAAAGAAAGCAGCAATTTTGCACTCAATCAATTCAGGATAGAGTGATATACCTTCTTTGTGGCATCCAACAATTCAACACTTCAACCATCTTTGCTCTCAGATATGGATTCTTTACATAAGTTGGACTTGCCATGAACATGATTATAAAATTTAAAAAGTCATCCTGGAAGAAGAATGCCACAATTGTTAAAAAAAAAACAGACATTTATAAAAATTTTGTGCCGTTATAATGAAACCAAAGCATACCAGCAAAAATCCATCAAGGGCTCTTGGAATTTTGGACGTTAAGACAAGCAAATCCATAGCATCTTCAATGAAATGTTCTGGCATGCATGCAAATTCCATTGGGCACTCTCTTGGCAGAGGCATTTTGAAGCCACCAACAAGACTGACCAACCATATGACGACCAACCTATTGAAAGATAGTGCTTGCTGAAGTAGAGCCCCATCCTTCAAAAAAAGAACTAATAGGTAAAGCATAGTGCTCCACTAGATAATTGACGAGAAGCTCCAAAGTAAATGTGTGTATAAAGCTCAAAAGTGACATATAGATTTAGGAAAATATTGGAAAATTAAATAAAACAACCATACAAAAATCTCACTGCACAATCATTAGAAACATGTTTCAGTAAAAGAACAGAAAATTTGAAAATGATAATCTTTATTTTTAAATGCAAATATTCTTATAAATACACTTCTTAGTTATGCAGAAATGCACCCTTTCCAAAAAAAAAAAAAGGAAATTTCATCATTAGATCTTACAAAAAAGTAGACGGTGAACATTTTAACTCACACAAACGCGCCCGCGCACACACACACTAGAGATAATACCAGGAATAAAGAGGATTGAATAAATGGTACAGGATCATGCAACACTAGAGATGTTACCAGAAATAAATCAATACAAATGAAGTTCATATGAAACTTATCCATTAGAAAATAAAACGAACACAAAGACAAACAAATCAATTAAGCCAAACGAAACAAGATGTGATCCAAGCTAGTGAAATCATAATAATAAAGAACACACCTGGTTCTTAAAGGCAACAGCATCATAAGCATGTGTTATACAAATAAACATACAATAAAATAAAATAAAACGACAAAATAGAAAATTGCAAAATAAAAATTAGTTTATCAATATGCTTGTCTTAACACAGAAGATTAGCATTTTTTGAAGTGTATGTACTGACAATTCCCCACTAGATATTATCCATTTCATGAAGAGCCAAATACATAAGTTATGGTCATTGTCTCAAAAACATACATAAAAACAAAGATATACAAGACTAAAAAGGAGATGAGCAAAACCATTACTAGTAACTAGGACTAGAAACTATATAAATAAGCTTAAGATGAATAATAAGAAGCTGAAGTCAATGAATTAACAATGATTTTTGCAACATGTATTAAGAATTGATCTGAAAATACTTAAAGAAAACATATTATAAATCCAACTTACCCGCAATATTTGGGCTTCATAACAGAATTTTTCCTGCGATAACATCTCAACTGCTTTCTCCAAGCGACTTATATCATTCTCAAGTTGTGGGCTAGCTCCCTGTTCTCTCATTGCTCTAAAAGTAGCAAGATCCTCTTCAAACCTTGCCAGCTCCTGCAATTATTTTATAAGGTAAAAAGACGTTACAGGCTTACAACAGAAGCTCCAACATCCCAAATTCTAAAAAAAATTATAAAAGATCAACCAAAGGAAAAAACCAAAATCATCCCATGATTATTTGTGATGGGTCATTTTAGTTCCTAATTATATTAAATGTGAAATTTAGCCCCCGGCTCTAGGCCAAATTGGTCCCACAATAAAACTAACAAATAATTAAGTTAACAAATAGTGTTAAAAAATAGGATATTTGACAAAATTAAAGCATCTTGAAATTTTTAACAAAATATCCTACAATTTTTAACTTGTAGGACATAATCTATCAATAACATGACAAATATCTCTTCATTTTTAGATGCTCGATCATGAAATTAGAACATATTAGATTTATAAATTTTAACATTTAATATTGATAAATTTCATATAAATATCTTAAACTTTAAAACAAATGTCATTTTATACAACTTTTAAAAAATGTTAAAACATAAATACCTAACTACCCTCATTTTTAGCATCTTCTATAAACTTTAAGTTCACTTTCTACTAATTTTAAGAGCAAGACCATCTTGCCTCCTATTTTAATGGTTTGAGGATTAAATTAGACTTTCATATAGTTTAGCATTAAAATGACCTCCTAACAAATAATTGAGCAATCATTTTAGTCCTTTTCTCATATATTTTTGTATAACCTCTAATGAAACTATTAACAAATAGTACAAGAAATATTGAAATAAGCTCTCAATCCAGCTGTCAAATATTTTGGATAAATAAATAATAATTAAAGAATAAAATATCAAAAGGATTAAGGATACTTATTTTTTTTTAAATCTTGATGTCTGCTTTTAAAAACTTCTATGAAATGTAAGAAATCCAGAAGGTTGAGTTTGGGTAGCTGTTGTTTACTACATTTCTTATGAGTCAAGATAAATTCAAAGTATTATAGCATCAAAATGAAATGATGAGTAATAAATAGAGAATACCTGAACAATATGTTTGAAGTCGGATAATGCTTTCATCAATCCCAAATTAAGAACTCTTGCTGTCATAAAGAAACACTCACAAATAAATGAGTATTTATCCTGTCCAGTGGAACTCTTTGTCACTTTGGTGCTTTGAGAGGTATAGCTTCCAGTATTGCCAGAGGTTGTCGCCTCATAGGATTGCAATACACGATTCTCCCCGCTTTCTTCCTCTTCCATCTTCTTGAGATTTTCCATAAATGAAACAACCTCTTCAGATGATGCATGTATAGCTGTCAGTTGTCTAGCGTAAAGTTTGATACTAATTATTAAAAAGGATAACAAAAATTAACTGAACATATAATATGGTATAAATTCACGAGACGAATACCTCAAATCTATACGTTTATTGAAGAATACATATTTCGGATCAATTTTATTTCTCTTTGATGCATTTACATCCAAAAAAGGTTCAGAAAGTCGAAGCATGACTGCACTAAGATTGACAAATAAACCAGTACTGGAACAAAACAAGGGGTCAACCTGTGTCAAGATAAAGTAAAATATGTGAAATTAAAATAGGAAGTGTTTGGGTTAGAAAGAATGATATAGTTCCTCCAATGGATCTGAACGACAATAATATCTTTGCTAACTTTCTCCAATGGATCTGAATGGCAATAATATCTTGATTGAGTTACCTGCATGCGAGACCTAGCTGCATTTTTCATAATCATGGCAGCAATATAATCAAGAACTTTATCTCGTGAATCAACATTTTTCAGAAGGGTGAGGAAAACTTCTCCTAGGCCGTCATAAAGAATATTCATAACAGTTCTAATTGTCGCAAAGGATGATAGTAAATCAGCTGGCCGGCGAGTTGATGATTCAGAGAAGCATTGCTGCCTGTCAGTACAAATAAAGATCTCAAGTCAAATAGAGACTTTATTCCAAAGATTAAAAGTTAATCAATAGATCTGGATAATGCTCTAAAGTACATTTCTATTTACATGACACAATTGAACAAACATATTTCAAGTGAAAAAAATACTTTCAAACTATCAAACAAAATAAGAAATTTTACCAACTAGTTAAGATACGCATGAAATAAAGCATAAATATTGATTCATTGTGATGCGAAAAGATAATGGAACCTGCAAACAAGTATTCATATGTCCACAGAAAATTTATGTGTGAAGTAATTTGAAATTAACCTAATCCTTAAATATAGTTGGTATACTTAACAAAAATTAGGCAATATGGTTAGGAAAAATTAAATAGCAAATGAGCAAGAAATGATTCTTCAAAAATACAAACCCTAGCGTGCACAAAATCAAAAAATGATTTTGTGAAGTTTTATAGAATTATAATGTTTTGCATGAACTATTTATCTTATAAAGCAAAACAGTAACAAAAAACAACCACAAGCCTATATCCCACTAAGTGGGGTCGGCTAGATGAATCCTTTTATCCATCATGTCGAATTGAGGGTCTGTTTGGGACAGTTTTTTGACTGCTTCTTTTCAGACTATAACCACAGTTTTGTTTGGGAAACTGTTTTCTTGGTATTTTTTTAAAAATTTATGTGATAGAAAGTTGTTTTCTTCACCTAAATGAACGTCAGATTATGGTTCGAAGTAAAGGTGAGAAACACCAAGCAATTACACAAAAGTCAGAGTGAAAACTATTTTTATAATTAGCAACGTTGTGCTTGATAGATGACAGATACACTAGCTAAAGTAAATTAGTATATTCCATCCAATGTAATTGATTGAATTCAATTCATATTAACTTGAAAATGGAATGGATAAACATGAGGGCATAAATAAAGACATGAATGGCTAAAAAACCCACAAGGTAAGGGAGCATGAATTAATATAAAGGTCAATAAATAGTAGAAACGATTGTATGATCCCTAAGACACCCGTGATGCAAAACTGAGTAGCTTAACCACAAGTTTTTAAACATATAGTTTGATTACTTTGCCGAAACAAAAAACTGGAACTGTAAGAACCTCATTCACAGTTGCAAGCTTACAAAAAGAAAATGGCAATCGGTAAGCATAGCAGGTAAATAATCACTAACCCAACATCCGGTGTACTTTTAAAATCTTTGTAATCAGGCAATGCACTGACATGAAGGAAACCCCCTAGTATGCTCGTTAACTCCATAATCCTTCCATTTTCCATAAAGACAAATGGCGCTTTTGCTATCCAATTCGGATGATTCACCAGAGCCTTTGCACAATTGGGATACCTCACAAGAAGCTGCAAGGCTCTCAATGGCTGCTGAAAGTTACCAAGCGCCGATACTCTCTCCACGCTCGCCCTTAGCATCTCATACACCTCGTTCATAACTGGCTCCAAGCTCTCAGAATCCCATTCACCGAATAACTCATCCAGAAACCCCGAAGGACAGCTGATCCCTGATCCCAAACTATTGACGCCATCCATAGGAGAAGCCACCTCCGAAAATATCAAATCAAGCAGTTGGGATGCAGCGGACTTCCCAGCTGCCGATGGCTTCCCGGCTGCGAACATATCCGGGTTTCCGATATGAATACGGAAGTAGGATACAACTAATCTCTTTGCTTGCTTGACAGCCAACTCGATCTCTGATCGAACGGAGGGATCCTTCATGGACCCGACCTTACGGATCTCCTCTGACGCGCGGCGAAAGCAGCCGACAAGATAAGAGAAAGCAGGATCGACGGAGGGGAAATCGCCGGACAGCCGATCGATGAGCACGCGTTCCATGCAATCCCGTGAAAGGAGGAGGGGCTGTCCTTCGCTGAGGATCTCCGCCGCCGTCATGCCGAGGTAGGCGATCTTAGGGTCGTTGTGGGTGGCTCCGGACAGAGAGATGATGAAGATCTTGCGGAGGATGATGTCCTCGATCTCTGCACGGGATCGCTGCGGCTTCGCCGCCGACATTGCAGCGAGAATCGAGATCGGGTAAACAACGGGGACGATAGAGAGTTTCAGGGCAAATCCTATTAGAGAACTTTGGCTAGCTTCGGGTATAAGAATATAGCGATACTCGTTCTAATTACTTCTGTAAGTTAAGTGCATGCAATCCAATAATCTAATATGTACACAACTCTACATATATCTAAAGTACGCAAATATTTCTCAAATAGTCTAATGTTCTTAGTCTTATCAATGGTATAATTACAACATAGCACCAAGAAAAATTATTATTTACAAAATTATCATTTACGTCATCTTTGTTTTACAATTTGTAATTTTTAATGCATTGTACCTAAATATATATATTTTTTTAACTAGAATAAAATTATTAAAGGAAAACAAAAAAAATTATAATATTAAATAATTTATTTTATTTATATTTATATTGTTTACATAATATGATATCATAATTTATATCACTTGATCAACTTTAATTATGAAGCACTAAAGTCATGAGCTACTTAGTTTTATATTTGTGCTTTATTATATAAGAATAAATGAATTCAACATTAAATTAAGAATAAATTATAGGTATTTCTTGCAAAAAACTTGTATTTAAATATCTAACACATAAATATCAATTTTTACATAAATGTCATCTTATGTGAAAAGGTTTCACATTCTAAAAATTAAAATATTACATTTTTATGTGATATAAAAGATTTGAATGGTATAAACAAAAAAAAAAAAATAGAGTTTAAATGTTAGACATGTAAATACATAATAATATTCATACCCCCAAACAATCAATAATGACACAACATAACGTACACTTTACTATTTTGACGTGTATACAAATGACAGATCAATCCACTTGTGTTGTTAGTCGTGGTCTGCTGGGAGAGCAGTTATTTGAAGATCATAAATCCCTTCAGATCACGGATTCAAATCTTCCTTTGACAAGTTTGTCTGTAGTGAGTGCGGTTCTCGAGTAGTTAGACAAATAAGGGTGGTTGGAGACTCGTATAATAGCCTTCGTAGTATTTTTCTAAACGAAAAGGGTTGATAATGAAAAAAAAATACATATTAATGATTACACCATTGTTACCTACACCAAAAAACTCATTCTGTCGAATCCTGAATAAATAAATTTCTTTTAAAAAAATAAAATTCTAAAAAATTAAAAAAATATATATTTGCACTCAGCTTCCGATGCTAACAAAAACTTTGCAGAAGGAAGGTTAATGAAGTGGGAAAAAGCAATTATAAGAATTGCTTGGGAAAAAGATGTGAATTTATCCATTGTTTACTTTTAGAGTGCATTTGCTGGACCGAAGAAGAGCTCCAAACTGAAGGATTGGCCGCATATGAATTTACCCTTATGCCCAACTTTGTCCAGATCCCGAACCGAAAACTGCAAATAGTATAAATCATGGGGTTGAGGAAGAAAAGATAAGTGCAAGAAGTATGAGAAAGAATGTAATTTCAATTTTGAGCTTTACGTTTTTACATTTATACCATCCAAATCATTCATACAAAGCATAGATAAGAAGGCATACACGTAAGAAATTGATGTTTAGGGTTTAGATATGTAAATAAGTAGTGATTGAGTGGTATGGATGTAAATCTTCAAAATTTTTTTGTAATTTTATGGTATTTAAGCATACCTGCATCATGCTGCCTTTAATGAAAGCCATGTTAAAGCACACATAAAAGAGGCGACTGCCGATCAGCTTTTCGTAGAAAACAACTCGCAAATCTCCGGCCACCTGAAGAAAAATGGCAAAAAAACCCTCCGTGAAGGAGAAAATTACAGTTTCATGACAGTAGATATGCTGTAAATAAGGCGGTGAATTTAGCTTGAAGATCGTCAGTATCTCCAAAATTGATTTGAATTTTGGTTTGGATCGAAATAAACGAGCTGTGCTAAGAGCCAAAAAATTGGATCGAATTTTTTTTGAGACAATTTCAAGCCGACCTCAACTCGGCTCGAAGTTAAATCTTTTAATATGTTCAACGATGTTAGGACTGTGAAATTCGTAAGTTTAGCTCAAAAATCGTTAATCACTTGAAAATTAATTAAAAAATTTTAGTTTTTGATCGAGATCGGATAGAAATAAACAAGCTACATTATGAGCCAAAATTTTGGATCAATTTTTTTTCGAGCCGATTTCAAGCTGACCCCAGCTTTGCTCGAAATCAGATCGTCAACATCTCCAGTGATGTTAGGACCGTGAATTCAACGAATTTAGCTCAAAGATCATTAATCATACGAAAATTGATTCAAATTTAGCTTTTGATCGAGATGAGATCGAAATAAACGAGCTGCATTACGAGCCAAAATTTTGGATCAATTTTTTTTCAAGCTGATTTCCAGCCAGCCCCAGCTCAGCTTGATGTCAGATCCTTAACATCCCCAGTGATATTAGGACCGTAAAATTAGCGAATTTAGCTCAAAGATCGTTAATAGCTCGAAAATTGATTCAAAAATTTAGCTTTCGATCAAAATCCGATCAAAATAAACGAGATGCACTACGAGCCCAAATTTTGGATCAAACTCTTTTCCAGCCGATTTCAAGCCCGTCGGCCCCAACTCTGCTCGAAATCAAACCGTTAACATCCCCAATGATGTTAGAACTACAAATTTAACACGCTTAGCTCAAAGATCATTAATCGCTCGAAAATTGATTCAAAACTTTATCTTTGGATCAAGATCGGATCGAAACAACTAAACTGAGCTACAAGCCAAAATTTTTCATCTAAATTGACTCCAACTTAGCTCGAAATCGAAACAAACCTGCAATGGGCTTTCAAAGCAGTAATCAAGGCATGTCTTCTGGTACAACGCCGATCTCTCCGTATCCATCTGAACAACAACGCGAGGAGAAACAACTTCTATTCTATCTAAATCATTCCCACCATCATCGACATAGGAGAGGTAATACCGTGGGCTGTTGCTCCTACGATCTCCTTCCTTCACTTCTCTGCAACACCCTTTTGCCACTTCTATGGACGGACGATACAGTTGCCCGGCAATCTGCTAAGAAGAATAGGAAGGTAAAATAAGAGAAATATTTTGGGAAGTTTGCCTATGTACCACGTAGTATTTAATTATTTACATATCTCACCCTTAAACTTTCATGTTCTAACATAAAAAATTAAGAAAAAGGTAAAATTGTAAGGTTTAAGTGTAGGAGTAGTCATTTGTGAATCATTTGGCTTTGTGATAGCATGGAGTGTATGGAGCGCATTTTCTGTCCGGACTCCTAACGTAGCTTTACGTACGGCGTAGGTTATTCCTGAGTTATTTTCAAGTTATTTTCAATAATCATGAAATAACCCAGAATTAACCCGTGGTCTTTATTTTTTGGTTATTTCTGGGTTATTTCAGAATTATTGAAAAAAATCAAAAAATAACCTGAAAATAACTCAGAAATAACTTCCGGCGCACGTAGAACTAAGTCAAGAGTCTGCACATAAAAATTTTTTGAGTGTATGGGGCATTTGTAAACATAGCACGCAGTTTCTTAATGTATTTACACTTTTGAAACCTAAATTTTCATATTTACATGCATGACAGTCAAATCTTTAACATCATATAAGAAATAACACTATTACAACTTTCTTAAAATCAAAAACACATTTTCATGCATAAATTTAAAGCACCAGTGTGCCATGCATGTAAATGTGAAAGCTTAGATGTAAGATATGTAAATATATAAGAATTGTGTGCTTCCTATATAAATTTTCCAAGAATTAATTGAAGAACTAGCATGATATCAACTCAATCCAGATGTGAAAAGAATATAAATATAAAATTAAGGAGAAGGTTGCTCACATCTTGCATTTCCATGGCAACAAAGAAGACGGAATTAATATTGATTGTGTCGTAAAGACGAATGCGACGCAATTCTCTTGTAGTTATTTTGGGCAAATTAATCGTAGGAGGTTCATCGAGCTTATCCTTGTGGAATTGAAGCACCTCAGACCAATACCTCACGTAGCGCCGTTGACTTGGTATTGAAACCTGACAATGGTGAGTATTTTCATCCACTTAACAATAACATAGAGAAATAAAGTAGGGGCATTTATATACATACTGCCCAATTTCGATGTATTTACATGCTAAACATCTAAATTTTGTTTTTTTTTGTATTTATACCACTCAAATCTTTCATATCATATTCAAGAACGGAACCGACCTCTTTTTTTAGGAGAATGACAAACTGCCCCCTGGACCCAATATATGAGTGGTTTGGGCAATGAAGTGCAAAATGATATTTCAAGAGGGGCATAACTAACATTTCAGGAGGAGCAAAAGATCAAATAAGTAAAAACTTGAATTTAAAGAGGGTATTTTTTTACGCCAACTACATCTTTACATCCACAAGTTAGGTTTCATAATTGGAAAAGTCGAACTATAAGTGTTATATGTGTAAATATATATGAATTAAATGATATTTATGCAAATATTCCAATAAAATATTCGTTGACAAATATCCAATAACATTATAGAAGAAGTTTATAGTTGAGTTTGACTTACCCCTCTATTGTTAGTAGTCCTTTTATGAGCATACAACTGAAGAGCTTCGTCTACACTCATCCCACTATACACAAGATAAGAACAAACCATCAAGCCCGTCCGACCTTTGCCAGCCTACAACCAAAAACAAAAAACCAAAAACAACCTCAACAAAAACTAAAATTGCAAATTAATTCATACCAAAAGGATTAATTGAAAAAAAAAGTGAAATTTTGGTGTCCAGCCTACAAATCATCTTATGTCACATATATCATACCATACAATGGATGACAGCAATATTCTCTGGATCACTTGAGAGCCATGAATATATACTTTCACATAAGAGCTTGACCATTGACAATGGCGGAACATGGTTGTCATCGAATGGATAGATCTCCACTCGCCCGTGAAAATGTGTGGGATCGTAGTTCTCTTCGATGCATAGATTGTAAACCTTGAGCAAATTATTTTGTAAGGAGGTTAATAATGTAAAATAAGTTAAAATATTGTGAAAAATAATATGCCAAGCATGTATAAATAGTAACAAAAGCTTTCTCCTTTCCTGGAAGTTGATGAAGCTTTAAAAACTACTGCTGACTACAACCTGTTATTGAATCAATTGAGGAAGATTCACATGCATGCCTATCTACATCTAACGATATCTAAACATCCATTTTTACATATATACCGCGATTCCTATGGATTAAAAGACATATCTTACTTTCTGAAAGTTGAAAAAGGTTGTGTTTTTCCAATTGATATAAAATATAGATGTAAAAAAGCAAATTTTAAGTGTCAGACATGGAAATACATAAGAATTCGGTATATATGTAACAGAGTTAATTGAGAATTAACTTAAATTTTGCCGGTGTGCAAAAAAGACACTTTAAATCCTAGATTCTATAAATTTGGTTTTTTTTTTTTTTTTCTTCTTCCTAGTTTTGCCTAGAAGGAGAAGAATCCTTAAAAAAGTAGAGGTAATCCGGTCAGGATATCATAGATCCTATATCCCAAGCCACTAGGACCCTGAGTCTACTTGGTGTGAAGACAGTCGACCTAACACGTCTAGAAATCTCTGGTCATCAATTCGTGAATTGCATCATCCACAAAGACCTCGTAGCCCTAAGGTTAAAGAAAACTCTATCTTAAGATTATAGTGAAGCTCCAAGAGATGTCACTTATACCCACTGAAATGACAAATATATCATTGGAAGATAGGAGAAAGGGAGGGGATTCATTAAACCTTTCTTGTTGGCAGGATTCCGTAAGAATCAGATTTACATGATTAACAAAAGCAGCTAAATTCGTTACCAAACAGCCACTGAGTGTAAAAAATACCTTGTATCGATCCGGATGCCTCGTATCCAGCACATCCCTGACCTGCCAGATAGGGTTCCTGTACAGCGCCCGCACACGCTCTCCCGGATATGACATTGCCAGCAGACGATCCGTGATGTACGACATGTCCAGATCATAGCCGGCAACAAGCATTCGCCGCCGGCTTTTGGAAACGAGGTTTCGGAGAAAGAAGGAGTTGGCGACATAATGCAGTAGTTTATGATATCCATTAACGAGGCTGCTGTTCTTGGGCTTGGAAGAGACTGGCGTTGAGAGCTTCATCCCCATGGCGTTCTCGGTTGGAGTGGGGGAATGGTTTCGATTGGATTCGCCTGAAAATGCTGAAAAAGATGATGTTAGAATTGAATCATATGGGCTGATTTTGCAGATGAGTGCGCAGATGCTTCGTGTATGGAAGTTAGTTTGGTTTTATGCTGTTATAGGAGTGTAAGAACATGGACATGTAGTCGGCAGAATGACCGAATGTGTTGGGAAAATAAAAATCAGATTTTTAGGGGCAGTATGGGATGAAGTTCGGTTTTTTAGTTTTTTTTTTTTTTTTTTTTTTTTTTGCTCGTGGTTTTATTTAAATTAAAATATATTTGGTATGTCATAATAGGATTGGTTGTTTTTAGAAATATGCAAACCAGCTTTTAGGTATTTAAAGGGATTTTAAAAGAAAATGGATCTGTTTTTTAAACAAAAAAAATTCAAATATGCAAAAAAAAAATAGTGAGTGCAAAAATACAAGACTAGAAGGGTGTGAGAAGGCCAACTACACTGAAATTCGGGAGAAGCTGAGGAGGTTGTATTTTCCTAGCCTAAAATCTTGAGAAAAGAGAGGCTGGAATCTAGAAGCGATTGTCAGAGAAGTAGAGAGTAAAAGACGGTAAGGTTCATTACCCTCTCTGTAGTGAATTTTATAATGGATCCAACAAGAAAAATAGTGAAACGGCAGTGTTCGATAATTACGACGAATCTGACTTGTTAGATTATAATTTATTTCTTTGTAATTTTTTTGGTTAATTATAGTATCAAATTTTCTCACAAAAAAATTCACCATTTAAATCTCTAACATTTCATTCCTTTTCTAGAAAAATTTACGTAATCATACTTCCATTATATTCTACAGTTTTGATCAAAAAAAGAAAAAAAAAAACTTGATTGAAACTAAGAAAATGTAGTTAAAGCATCCCTCCTCTCAAAACCCACAGCCAAACATAAAAAATAAAAAGTTAATGAAAACATTGATTAATAAAAATCAAATAAATTAAATAAAATTCCAATAAAGAATACTTCATATGATGATTTTAATTCAAAAAAATAATGTATAAATCAAAATGCATCATCTTCATTTTACAATCATTTTAATGAATATTACTTATGATGGATCTTATTCAAAAAATATAACATAGAAACCAAAATGCAACACCTTTTTTTTACAATCATTTCAATGATAGTGAAAAATAATAAAATTCCAATGAAATTTCAATAAAACCTACTTATGATGGATCTTATTCCAAAAATATAACATATAGACCAAAATGCATCACATTTTTTTTACAATCATTTCAATGGCAGTGAAAAACAATGAAAATCCAATAAAGACTACTTATGATTGATCTTATTCAAAAAATATAACATACAAACCAAAATGCATCACATTCTTTTTACAATCATTTCAATGACTGTAAAAAACAATGAAATTCCAATAAAGACTACTTATGATAAATCATATAAAAAAAATATAACATACAAACCAAAATGTATCATCTTCTTTTTACAATCATTTTAATGACAATGAAAAACAATGAGAAACAAAAATTCAATTAATAATTAAAAAATAAATAAATTCCAATTTAACATATTAAATAAGAAGTAACTCATTATCGATGTGATTTATTGTTGTCTCTCTCACTCATTTCTCCTTATGATTCCTCTACCAATAAATTTAGTTTTTCTGTTTTGATTCTTGTCATGTCGCACATCTTCCGTAATTATCATCACCATATTACTTTTCCAAATCCATCAAAACAACTCTTTCCCTAAATCTCTGATTTTATAATGAATTTGATAAGAAAATAGATGAAATGATAGTGTTTGGTAATTACGCCAAGTCCAACCCGTTATATTATAAATTGTTTCTATATAAGATTTTTTATTAACTATGGTATCAGATTTCCTCATTAAAAAAAATTCACTTACCAAATGCTTAGCATTTCACTTCTGTTACATAAAATTTACCTAGTCATGCTTTTTATTGGGTTCTATAATTTTGACCAAAAGAAATAAATTAATAAAAAAATTTAAAAAAAAATTTCAATGAAGACTACTTATGATGGATTTTATTAAAAATATATAACATATAAATCAAAATGGATTACCTTTTTTTAACAATCATGTCAACGACAGTGAAAAACAATGATAAACAAAAATTCAATCAATTACTACAAAAAAAAAAATTCCAATTCAACATATTGAAATCTGGTAGCAGTTGGCAACATGCATTTTCTCAGCCCTAAATATTGAGGAAAGAGACGTGGGAATTCAGGGGTGAACGCCATGGAAGTAGGGATACAAGAAGGTTGTGTGGCCTCCATGTCGCTGATTTTATAACGAATTTGATAAGAAAATAGATGGAATAATAGTGTTTGATAATTACGTCGAGTCCGACCCATTATATTATAAATTATTTTTCTATCAAATTTTTGATTAACTATGGTATCAGATTCCCTCATCGAAAAATTCACTTACTAAATTGTTAACATTTACTCCTCTTACATAAATTTTAACTAGTCATACTTCTATTGGGTTCTACAGTTTTGAGAGGAAAAAAAAAACATTTATTTGCAATTTGAGAAATGTCGTTAAACATTTATTCACAAAAATTACATAAATAAAATGAAATTCCATTTAAGACTACTTTTTATGATGAATCTTATTCAAAAAATATAAAGTATAAACCAAAATGCATCACCATCTTTTTACAATCATTTCAATGACAGTGAAAAACAATGAGAAACAAAAATTCAATCAAGTACTACAAAAAATTAAATCCCAATTCAATATACTCCATAAGAAATATCTCATTATCAATGTGATTTATTTCCATCTCCCTCACTCATTTCTCCTTATGATTCCCTTACCAATAAATTTAGCCTTTTTGTTTTGATCACTATCATTCCGTACCTTTTCCCTAATTATTAACACCATTTTATTTTTTCCAAATCAATTGAAACAATTCTTTCCCTTCCTTACAAAATAATTTCTTCCATAATAAACAACTACTTCAAAAAAGAATATCAATTGTTTCAAAACAAAACAAGTAAACCACATGCCTGCAACCATCACGACGACCCACCTTGGTATCTAACTCCCCAACCTAAAAAAAAAATATCAGTACCTATAGCTACTAAAATAGATGCAATTATCATAAATTGCAATCCCAACCCCAAGCCCCTCTCTAAGAGCCTGCAGCGCGAGCCTAGCATAGAAATGCTGACAACGCAGTTGAACTCTCTCGAGTTTTGAAGAAGAAGATGATGAGAAAGACGTACCGGAAGTGAGAAATATGGAGCAACTGAGGAGCCTGCATTTTCCCAACCACAAATCTAGTGGAAAGAGAGGCGGGAATCCACGAGCAATTGCCATGGAAGTATGGACACAAAAAGGCTGGAAGGTTATGTGCCCTCTAAGTAGCTCATTTTATAATGAATCTAACAAGAAAATAGGTGGAATAATAATGTTTGATACTTTCGCTGAGTCTGACCCGTTAGATTATAATTTGTTTTTCTATTAGAATTTTGTTTAACTTTGGTATCAGATTCCCTCACCCAAAAAATCATAATCCAAATCCCTAGCATTTCACTCCTCTTACACAAAATTATTCTAGTGATATTTTTATTAGATTCTTTAATTTTGACTGAAAAAAAAAACACTTGATTGCAACCTGGGAAATATCGTTGAAGCACCGGTCCCCTTAAAACCCCACCCCTGCCCAAACAAATAAATAAATAAATAAAAACACTAATTCACAAAAATTAAATAAATACAACAAAATTCCAATAAAAATTACTTCAGATGATGGATCTTATTCAAAAAAATATAATGTAGAAATCAAAATGCATTCCCTACTTTTTACTACCATTTCAATTGCACTGAAAACCAATGAGGAATAAAAATTCAATCAAGTAGAGCAAGAAAATAAATTCCGATTCAGTATACTCCACAAAAAGATCTCATTACCAATGTGATATATTTCCATCCTCTTAGTTATCTTCCTCTTAAGATTCTTTAACCTATAAATTCTCATTTTTCCCATTTGATCTCTAGCATGTCGCATCTATTCCCCAATCATCTACAATACAATATTATTCCAAATCCATCAAAACAACTGTTCCCCTAAATTAAACCCTTACAGAATAACTGTTTTCATAATAAACAACAACTTAAAAAATGGAAGCAAATGTTTCAAACTAAAATCGATAAACCACAAGAGCACAACTATTAGAATGACAAACCCCAACTAATCTATTGTAACGAAAAATATCTCGTTAAAAAGAAATCCATGTGAAATCAAATGCAAACATGGATGGAGAGACCCCCCCCCCTGGCTTGTAGCTCCCTAACCTAAAAAAATATATCAATCTCTATAGCTGCTCAGATAGATACAATTATCATAAATTACAATCCCAACCCTAGGCTCCTTCCTAAATCTTGAGAAAAAGAGAGATTGAAATCCAGGAGCGATTATCATGAAAGTAGAGAGACAGAAAGGCGGGAAGGTTTTGTGCCCTCCTTATCGTTGACACTATAATGGATTCAATAAGAAAATAAGTGGAATGATAGTGTTCGATAATTACATTGAGTCTAACCCCTTAGATTATATTTTATTTATCTATCAAATTTTTTGTTAACTTTGGTATCAGATTCCCTCACCAAAAATTCACTTTCTAAATCTCTAACATTCAACTCCTCTTCCAAAAAAATTACCTAGTTATACTTCCACTGGATTCTATAATTTAGACCGAAAAAAAAATACTTGATTGCAACCTGGGAATTGCCATTGAAGCACCCTTCTCCTCGAAACCCCACCCCCACTCACAAAAAAAATAAATAAATAAAATAAAATAGTGATCCACAAAAAAATAAATAAATAAAATAAAATACCAATAATAACTACTTTCTTATTCAAAAAATATAACGTAGAAATCAAAATGCATCATCTTCTTTTTACAACCATTTGAATGGTTGTGAAAATAGTGAGAAACAAAAATCCAATCAAGTATTACAAAAAAATTAATCCCAATTTAGTATACTCCATAAGATAGGACTCATTATC